CCCCCAGATCGCCGATCTGGCCAACACCATTCGCGGATCGACACCCTTGAGGCAGTAGTTGCCGCAGCAGCGCCAGCCTTCTGCCTCCAGTTCCGACAAGGCCTTGTGGGTCTTCATAAAGTTCCGCAGCGTCCTTTCTGCCGCCCTTCGCGTGGCCGTCTTTGGGGCTGCGGGGTCCAAAGGGACCTTGATTGAACTCCCCGGCGAAGCGGCCCTGTACGCCTTCCTCTTCCTGTTTTGTGGCGCGTCTAGTACGTCCACCAATTCCTTGAAGGCCTCCCTACCAAGGCCGCCCCCTTGGGTTCGCAAATACTCAGCAATCAACGGAGGCACGTTGGTTGCAGCCCCTGCAGGCAATTTGATCACAGTATTTCAGAGGGGCAGCAAGCAAGGCGAGTTGCGGCGAGGAACAGCCGTGCCAAGAGTGGGTGCTCACCCTGTACAGTGTTGGATGCACCAAAACTGCCTCCATCGGAGGCCACATGCCAGTCGTCGTCATCCCCCAGCAGTGCCCCAGAATCCGTGGCACTGCAGTTCCGGCTGCACGCGGCTGGGTGAGCACCCTGGCCTGTGGCCCTGCGCTTGGCCTGCGGTTGTGGCATTCTACCCGCCACTCGCTTGACTGGTATGCGAGAGCCATTGCCGGCAGCGGTGGGCCTCCGACGGCCAGAGGTCGCCGGCTGCTGCGGCAAGGGGGCAGCCTCCAGCGACGCAAGACGATCTTGTTGTTCCTTGTAAGTGCGGGCACAGGACAGGCACAGGGAATGCTGCGCCACCGTGTTAGCCAGTGCTGCCGGGAGACCCGACAGGCATCTGTAGTGGAAGAAGCCCGGCTCACAATTTCGGCAGGCGCCTTGAAACGCCGTTGGTGCGAGGCACTGCGGAGAGCATTTTCGTCCTGTATGGAAGAACAATAGGTAAGAGAAGAGCACAGCCGTGTGGCAGCGCTGCACAGACGCAAGCAGGGAGATGGGCACCCACCACACATCATTGTTGTGGCAGTACTCCCAGGTTTTGCACCTGCGCATAACCAACAAGAATCAAGAGTCGGCGCAGCACGCAAGGCTTGTCGTACGGTTAGACTTGTATCTCCCAGGTCGTTTAGCAGCCTACATATGACTGGTGCGGTTCCGCGATGGCGGAACCGCACAAGCATCTCGCAAGTCCATTTCCCACATGCAACAGTTTGGTGAGGTACCGTGGTGGCGTCAACGCACAAGCATGTCCAAGATCCATATCTAGCTTGTGACAGGCTGGTGCGGTTCCGCGATGGCGGAACCGCACAAACATCTCCAGAGTCCATTTCCCGCCTGCAACAGACTGGTGTGGTTCCGCGATGGCGGAACCGCACAAACATCTCCAGGGTCCATTTCCTGCCTGGGACCGTCTGGTGCGGTTCCGCGATGGCGGAATCGCACAAACATCTCCAGGGTCCATTTCCTGCGTGGAGCAGTCTGGTGGGGTTCCGCGATGGCGGAACCGCACAAACATCTCCTAGGTCCATTTCCTGCCCGGGACAGGCTGGTGTGGTTCCGCGATGGCGGAACCGCACAAACATCTCCAGGGTCCATTTCCTGCCTGAGACAGGCTGGAGCGGTTCCGCAATGGCGGAACCACACAAACATCTCCAGGCTCCATTTCATGCCTGGGACTGTATGGTGCGGTTCCGCGATGGCGGAACCGCACAAACATACCCAGGGTCCATTTCCTGCCTGGGACAGGCTGGTTCGGTTCCGCGATCGCGGAACCGCACAAACATCTCTACATTTCATTTTCCCGCCTGGGACAGTCTAGTGCGGTTCCGTTATGGCGGAACCGCACAAACATCTCCAAGGTCCATTTCCCATCTGGGACAGTCTGGTGCGGTTCCGTGATGGCGGAACCGCACAAACATCTCCTCAGTTCATTTTCCCGTCTGGGATAGTTTGGTGCGGTTCCGCGATGGCGGAACCGCACAAACATCTCCAGGCTCCTTTTCCTGCCTGCAACAGACTGGTGCGGTTCCGCGATGGCCGAACCGCACAAACATCTCCAGGGTCCATTTCGTTCCTGGGACAGTCCTGTGCGGTTCCGCGATGGCGGAACCTCACAAACATCTCCAGGGTCCGTTTCCCGCCTGCAACAGACTGGTGCGGTTCCGCGATGGTGGAATCGCACAAACATCTCTAGGGTCCGTTTCCCGCCTGCAACAGACTGGTGCGGTTCCGCGATGGCGGAACCGCACAAATATCTAAAAGGTCCATTGCCTGCCTGGGACAGGCTCGTGCGGTTCCGCGATGGCGGAACCGCACATACATCAAAATTGTCCATTTCTTGCCTGGGATAGGCTCGTGCGGTTCCGCGATGGCGGAACCGCACAAACATCAAAATTGTCCATTTCCTGGGGAGCTGGTGCGGCGCATGGCGAACCCACGCACATTCTGCAGTCCATTTCTCGCCATCGGTACCCGCTGATGGCGAACCGCATAAACATTCAAAGGTTCATTGCCCGCCCGACAAATTGCAGGAGCCCGCGATGGCGGAACCGCACATACATCAGAATTGTCCATTTCCTGCCTGGGACAGGCTCGTGCGGTTCCGCGATGGCGGAACCGCACAAACATCAAAATTGTCCATTTCCTACCTGGGACAAGCTGGTGCGGTTCCGCGATGGCGGAACCGCACAGACATCTCCAGAGTCCATTTCCCGCCTGCAACAAACTGGTGCGGTTCCGCGATGGCGGAACTGCACAAACATCTAAAAGGTCCATTGCCTGCCTGGGACAGGCTCGTGCGGTTCCGCGATGGTGGAACCGCACATACATCTAAATTATCCACGTCGCCCGGCGGTTCCGCGATGGCGGAACCGCACAGACATCTCCAGAGTCCATTTCCCGCCTGCAACAGGCTGGTGCGGTTCCGCGATGGCGGAACCGCACAAACATCAAAATTGTCCATTTCCTACCTGGGACAGGCTGGTGCGGTTCCGCGATGGCGGAACCGCACAGACATCTCCAAAGTCCATTTCCCGCCTACAACAGACTGGTGCGGTTCTGCGATGGCGGAACTGCACAAACATCTAAAAGGTCCATTGCCTGCCTGGGACAGGCTCGTGCGGTTCCGCGATGGCGGAACCGCACATATATCTAAATTGTCCATTGCCTGCCTGGGACAGGCTCGTGCGGTTCCACGATGGCGGAACCGCACAAACATGAAAATTGTCCATTTCCTGCCTGGGACAGGCTCGTGCGGTTCCACGATGGTGGAACCGCCCAGACAAGCATCCATCTAGGATGTAACAGATAAGCAGCAACACAGTGAGATGCTGTCCATGGACGAACCAATGTCAGGGTCAATATTGACCTGCAAAAGCTCCTCACCGGCACTGCGCCCTCCAATGCCACCTCAACGCTCCTGCCAGTGACAAACTGCGGGGTCCCAAAATGGTAAAATGGCAGGGTCCGCACTTATATATCCCTCGCAGCTGAGGTTGGCGGCAGCCCCGCCAAAAACACCCCGGGCAAATTCGAATTCTTTGAATCTATTGGCTAGATTTGAAAATCCCGGGCTGGCTTTCAATCTTGGCCACTTGTTTGCGCACCGGCACATTTTTCCCCCATTCCGGCGGGGCAAAAAAAAGCCCCCCCCCCTCCCGCCGAGGGGGTATAAAGGCGTGGACCCTGCCATTCTACCAGTTTTGCAATGTGCGGTTCGGCGTTGGTGGCATCGGGTTTGGAGGTACTTGGAGGGGCGTTTGACAGGCAAGTGGTTGTCATTTGTCGTGTTTTTTGTTTGTCCATGGACAGCAGCACGACCTGCACGCGAGCACTGTTTGGCCATGGTTGCACACCACACCTGTTAGACAATAGGACAACTTCCGATGTTTGTGCGGTTCCGCGATCGCGGAACCGCACGAGCCTGTCCAAGGCTGGAAATGGACCTTTTAGATGTTTGTGCGGTTCCGCCATCGCGGAACCGCACCAGACTGTTGCAGGCTGGTAATGGACCTTTTAGACGCTCGTGCGGTTCCGCCATCGCGGAACCGCACCAGCCGGTCCTAGGCTGGATATGGACATTGGAGTGTTTGTGCGCTTGCGCGATGGCGGAACCGCACCAGACCGTTGCAGGCAGGAAAAGGACTGCTAACATGCTTGTGCGGTTCCGCGATCGCGGAACCGCACCAAACCGTTGCAGGCAGGAAATGGACCCTGGAGGTGTTTGTGCGGTTCCGCCATCGCGGAACCGCACGAACATGTCCCAGTCTGGAAATGGACTTGCGAGATGCTTGTGCGGTTCCGCCATCGCGGAACCGCACGAACCTGTCCCAGTCTAGATATGGACTTGCGAGAGGCTTGTGCGGTTCCGCCATCGCGGAACCGCACCAGACACTTGCAGGCGGGGAAACAACATGGGAGATGCCTATGTGCTTCCGCAGTCGCCGAACCGCGTGAGCCATCTGCAGCTGGGGATCAGATTTGGGAGAAGCTGGTGTGGTTAAGCGAAGTCGAAACCGCAACAGACTGGTGCAGGAGGGAGATGGACCTGGGTGATGCTTGTGCGGTCCCATGATCGCGGAACCGGACGTAGCCACTGCACCAGCGATGTCGAGGATTTGTTCCACTGTTGTTTGCGATTGTGGAAGTGGAAGCAAGCAGCGTCATATTTTGGGGACGGCCGTATAGCTCACTTCTCATATGGTACCGTTTGCTTTGCAGACCTCGCAACATGTTCCGTCTTTGTTTTGGAGTTGCTCGTGGGTTGGACACAATGCGGCGGGACGGTGAACGCCAGCTTGGAGTCTGATTACCAATATGCACTGACAACGTATTCAGGTAAGAATGGCTTTTGCCTTACATGTCACCATAGCGTTACTTGTGGCGGATGCAACAGCCGCCCCAACACTTCGACTAGCAGTGCTTACAAACCACATGTACTTCGCCCGCACAAAGCTAGTTGTCGTTTGGCACTTTTTTTCCTACGTCTTAGGGTCGCTGTCGACCTCTTTGTACCCTGGGCCGGTCCTACTGGGGAGTTGATTCCTGGGTAGTCATTATTCCGGGCTGGTACGTTTTGTCGGGCGTAGCCTCCCCCGAAATAAACTCTGTTGATTCGGTGGCATCGTCCACACCTCCACCCTCTCTCTCAACCTCGCTCTCAACCTCGCTGTCGTCCTCCTCTTCGTATTCGTTCAATAAATCAATCGCTTGAGCGACGGCGGGTTCCTGATACGAGACTCGCTCTGTTGCCCGTCGACGGGGGAGCACTCGGCGGCGCAGCTCCGCGACCTCGCCGGCCTCTGCTTCAGGAGCAACTGGCGCAGGCCTTCCTCCCTTGACACTAGGGGCACATCCTTTAGGCACCGACGAGATGGTACCACTCTTGCCCTTTTTCACCACTTTTCCCTCCTGCTCCTCTTCCTCCTCTTCTTCCTCCTCCCCGCTCTCTGAGGAGGTACCGCTGGAGGTATCGTCCTCTTCGGAATCCTCATCCGGTGAGGATTCCTCTTCCCCACCCTCTGCTTCAGGAGCACCTGGCGCAGGCTTTCCTCCCTTGACACTAGGTGCACATCCTTTAGGCACCGACGAGATGGTACCACTCTTGCCCTTTTTCACCACTTTTCCTTCCTGCTCCTCTTCCTCCTCTTCCTCCTCCTCCCCCCTCTCTGAGGAGGTACCGCTGGAGGTATCGTCCTCTTCGGATGAGGAATCCTCTTCCCCACTCTCCGATGTCAAGGATTGCTCTTGTCGCTTTGCCTTGCCCGCACCACCAGTTCCCTTTCTTGCGGTGCTTGCAGCTGCGTCGCCGCTGCCCCGCGTATCGCTCCTGCCACCACCCGCTCCCTCGTGGCCCTTATCGCTCGTGGCACGTTGCTTCCCCCTGGCAGGGGGGCCACCTGCAACTTTGGCTCTTGCCTTCTTCCCTGTTTCAGCCTTCTTCCCTGTTGCAGCCTTCTTCCCTGTTGCAGCCTCGGCGCCACGCTCTCGCCTTGCTGCCGTTGCAACGATGGGGGGCAAGGTGGAATCCTACAGAAACAGTATTCAATTCAATTGCGACGAGCACACATAATAGCATCCTGCCAAAACTTCCTGTGGTTGTGCGCGGTCGTTTGCTTCCTGCCACCATCGCGTTTTCACGACAATGGGGCAACACCACGCCGATGCGGTACCGCGATCGAGGAACTCATGTCCAGCATCCTCCAACATCCATTACTGCAAATAGTGTGTTGCGTTGCCGCCATCGTGGATCCGCAACTGTCCCTATGTTGCAGGCGGTGACTGGATCTTGGAGATGCTTGTGCGGTTCCGCGATCGCGGAACCGCACCAAACTGTTGCAGGCAGGAAAGGGACTGGTGACATGCTTGTGCGGTTCCGCGATCGCGGAACCGCACCAAACTGTAGCAGGCAGGAAAGGGACTGGTGACATGCTTGTGCGGCTCCGCGATCGCGGAAACGTAAGGACAAGGGCAGCACTGCCACCGGCAAGCGATAGTCATCTCACCTCCTGCCGCTCCAGATCCGCCAACACATCCTGGGCAGGGTGTCCATTTAATTCCTCGACCACGCTCGGTGAGGGGTCGGACAATAGCTCCGTTGCACTCTCCAGCAAAGAGTGCGGGATCCGAATACGACCTTTCTTGATGCTCTTTACTGCCTTGAACAAATCAACCATGGAAACCCAGTGTGCCCACTCCGCCGATTTGCCAGGATGCCCGTTCAGCTCTGTCACCTGCGTTACGGACAAAGATTGAAGATATGGCATCACCAGCAGGTGCGCCAGTGCAGTCGATGCTCCGCTTGTGGCGCCCGAGCTGCAATCCGCGGCAAAGGCCGCTATGGGTTCGGGTAGCCGGCGTCCACCCCACACCACTTCCTGTGGGCAACAAGCCAACACTTCGCTTATTCGTGGTGATGACAACAAGGCCACATCAATACCGCTTCTTAGCAGATGTCTAGGAATAGTGTGCGCGGGCTAAACTATTTAGCCTATACAACAGTTGCAACTTTGCATACCCTCTGGTCAGGAATCCCCCTCATGGCGGCGGCCGCTTTCAGTTGCTTGTACTCGTTGGACTTGGACGAACCGCCAGAACGGATGGCGCCACACAGTAAACCCTCCCGTGCGAAGAATGTCTCCACCCGCCTTTTCGCCCATTCGCATTGTCTAGTGCTGTCGTCCACCCCTACGGCCCTTCGCCCTTCCATAGCGGCCGCTATGAGGGCCGTGCCGGTGCCATTGCACAGGCTCACCACCGTCCCCCCTTTGGGAGACAACTGCCTTATTAGCAGCCTCGTCTCCTCCAAAGGCTTCTGGGTGGGGTTCACGGCCTTGCCGCCCACCCCCACCACGGCGTCCAACTCGGCACGGCTGTAGCGGGAGTGAGCAGTAGGCGATGGGAAGCTGTAAACAAATCTGCCTCCAAGGCGCCCCCCGGCGTCCGCATAGACCGACTCCGCCCCATTCCCGTACTTGCCGACCACCACAAAGTAACGATGGCCAGCGGACGCCGTGCCGGCCTGCAGGTTGGCATTGCCATCACGCCCAAAGACGAATAGCACGTTGCCTCTGTGTGGAGAGGGCAACTCTTTCCCTGTGGCCTTCAAAACTCGCATCCACTCGCCGACGTCCTGATGCATGCTGTACACTGCGATATTGAAGTGGCCTGGGCTGAAGGGCAACGCCGACATAGCCTTGAACGGGAAACTGGCTGGTTGCCACTTTTGGCCCGGCCCGTCCCAGGACTCCTCCCCATCCTTGGAGAGCCCAAAGGGGGGGTCGACTAGCACCAGCTCCACAAGGGACGAGCCAAGTATTTCCCTCACGTTCTCGTACGTTTGTGGTGTCTTGGCGTCCCCAGCCACAATCGACAGCCCCACATTCCGGCCCTCCTCCCTGCCGCCACCCCAAACCACCTTTTGGCTCTAGAAGTCCAGCCCCGACCGACGGGCGAGGAACTGGGAGATGGCCTGGGGGCCCAGGGACAACTGGCCAGGAGCAATGTCCACAGGCCGCACGTCGTTTAGATCAGGAGCGGGAGATTTGTTCTTTACAATCTCCTCCCACTTGGGCGGGGTCGCTGGGTGGGCAGGCAGACCCTGGGCGGCAGCCTTGTCCACAGCCTTCGCCACCTCTTCGCGTTGGCCGAGGGATAATCCGGACCAATGTCCAAAGGCGACTTGGGCAGTCTTGGTGCTGTCAACCATGTCATCCAATAGGTCTTTGTCTATCTGACGGACAAAAAGCAAAACAACAATTGAAGCAAAGAAGTGCAACACGGTTGTAAACAGAAAACCCAACTGCACACTTGCAGGCGGTTCCGCGATCGAGGAACTGCAGTTGGGTGCTTCCCGTCTAGATTACCAGCCGGCAAGCCCCCCTTCACCTCTGCCACCCAAGTAAGTACTCACCTGCCCTGCCTGGAGCAACGACCGAGCTTCATACTCGTCCCTTGCACCGCGCATCCAGGCCAGCAACGGCTGGACAACTGCATCCCGTAGGGCCAATGTCAGCTGATCCAGGCCTGGGAACAACTGGACTTGACGTTCCAGCCACCAACGTGCGGCTCTAGCGAAGGGTGCAAGGAACAAGTTCTCCTGAGGAGTGACGAGGTGGAGCCCGTCCCCCTGGCTGCGGAGCAACGCGTTCTCGTTGTGGATCGGAGGCCGAACGGCAACCCGGCCAAAGTGGTGGTACAGAGCATGTGCAACTGG